TTTAGACCAGATTTTGTTTGTTTTGTTGTTTGTTTGTTTGTTCAAGGAGAGAAAGTTAAATGAAAGGCTTGGATAAAGATGTGTGAGAAGTCCATTTACATGCTTCAGTACCAAATGCACAGATCCTAACCATGGTTAAATAATTACTTAAATTAACATTAAAAATGTTTTAAAGAAATGGAGATAAAATAACTTTCAGACATGATCCAATAACTTGTAGAAAAACCAAAAATGTAAAAGGTTGATTTAATAAAATTAATTCATTGATGGCTTATGAATCCCTGAAAGGAAAGTATATATCGATATTGAATGTTTCATTGTATACTAGATATAATTTCAAAGTATGTTTTGGTGTGCAGCTTATTCCTGGTTGGAGGAAGCTCATGTAGGTCCCACTCAGACAAATGTGGACCATTGGTTCATGATTTCTGCCTCATAACTGGAAGTTTAGACCAGATTTTGTTCAAGGAGAGAAAGTTACATCAAAGGATTGGAAAAATATGTGTGAGAAGTCCATTTACATCCTTCAATATACACAGATCCTAACCACGGTAAAAAAAATTACATTAAATTCACATTAAAAATGTTTTAAAAGAAATGGAGATAAAAATCTTTCAAACATGATTCAATAACTTGTAGAAAAACGAGGTGTGTTATCAAAAAATTGTCCTGATATGTCCTGAAAACAAACACACATACACACACACATTGTTTGTTTGGTGCCTAATTAACAACATTACTGTCAGCATTCAGCTATCATTCAATTTCGAGCGAAAAGGGAGGGCAATGGAATGGACGAGAGGATGGAAATCAGGAGGAAATAATTAAATAAAAAGAGCAGATGAGGGATAAGGCAGAAAACATCTACACACACACACCGTCGGAGGTCTTCAGCACCACGGTTTTGCTGTAGGGCCCCACGCCCACCGCGTTGTAGGCCTTCACCCGGGCGTTGTAGGAGCTGTTGAAATGCAGCCCGTCCACCGTGCACATCGTCTCCTTTCCCACGTAAACCTCCTGGTGAAAAATACGTATCAGCAAATGCAGCTTCAGGGGGCAAATAAAAGCTTTAAGTCCTGTTCATAATGCATTAGGAGTGTGTGAGCAGCAGGAAGAGGTCAAAAAGTCTTTCAATCACAGATACATTTCCATTTTTAGTCTCTCAGAGGGCAGAAGTGCATGTGTTCTGTCTATCTATCTATCTATCTATCTATCTATCTATCTATCTATCTATCT